TAAAATTCTAAGAAATCTATTGTTAACTGACACGCCGGCGTGTCTATGGTCGTGGAGGGATTAAATTAAATATTTTACAAAGTGTTACATAATGTAGAGAATTTCAAATATAACAGAGTTGCTCCTGGTACTTCTCTGATGGCAGAATGAACCATAGGAGCAACCCGTTGGTCGCTGTTGTCTGCTTCTGCAGACCTGCCGTCGGAGTGTCGTGATTGAGTGCGTAAGTGGTCCTGCGGCGCTCCATTAAGACGGGGAGGTTTTGTTGGGTTTTAGTGAGTAGTACTGGCTTTTCTAGCCGGTGAGTCCCTCCTGTATCTCTACAGGTAATATACCTAAATGCATTTTCCAACATAAAAAAAGAGATATAAAGCTGCCAGAAACATCTCGACCATACACCATTGCTACGAATATATAATCTAAAAGCTAATTAATCTTGAAAACTAATAGTACCTTGAAAGTGTATAACTTGTCTGCAGAAACAAGTAGTAAAGTAGGACGTGTCATAAACATCGAAGCATATTGAACATCGATATATGATCCAATAACTAACAAGTTACAAACTATCAACTCTCAACCAGACACCAGAACCTAATATACGTACTCATAGCTCTCTTCACACCGAACTTTGTACAGACTGCTTGAAATGCTATCGCCTTTTGTTAAAGGACTTGCTTATTAAATTAATTTTTATTGAACGATTTCAAAAGAGGAAGTATTGGATTAGTACTCGAATTGAAATGCCAATGGTGAATTTCTCTTATAATATTTTTTTAATGACTAAATTAAGGATGGGCGTGAGAACGTGCTTTACAACGTTAATTTTAAAATCACTACTACTATACTCAGAAAATTAATGTTGCTCGATATATTAATTACTTTTAAGTGTATTTCATTGTACTTTTTATTAATTAAGAAATAGCGCAGTATAGTCTGGTCAAATTAGACATAAAAAAATGATCAAATAACAAAAACTAAGACAGAGCTGAGTTTTGGTAGAGAGCTTGGGAACACCAGTAGAAATAAAGTCCCAAAAGTCCCCACCGATCCCATATGTGCTAAAAAAGTTATTTAATCTAAGAATAAAATGGGCAAGTAAATTGTTATGTAATTTAATAACTAAACTTATGTATACAGTTAGAACTGACAGTAGTTAACGAACTACCAGCACACTTCACATAGAAGTTATTCAACTATAGACTGCTAGAATAGTAATAGTAATGGATTTTAGATGTTCTCGCCTAAGTTAGCCTGTTATTATCTTCATTTACCTACATGGAAAATAAGTGTGCCTTTACATTTTAGTTACATGTTATGTGGTTTTTAAGGTTCCGTATCTCAAAAAGAAAAATGGAATTATCACTTCGTTGTCTGTCCATCTCTCAAAACCCCTTTTCGCAAGAACGTCTGGAAGTATCAAGTTAGTATTAATATGAAATACTCAGGTTTGTAATCCCTTGGAGCTGTGTAAAAATCAAACTTCTGAGTTAACGCAATTAAAAGATACGGTTTTTAATGCCGCATATTTTGACAAATGAAAACTCGCAAGGGAATCCAAGCTTATTATGAAAGTATATCATAATGGAATCATGAAATTTGGCAAAAATTTGGGGAAAATCCGAAAACCGTTTTGTAGTAATATTACAAAAAAAAATTTCGATTGTTTTAATATTTCATACTCGCACTTGTCCGATTCTTTACATTTTTTTGCGCTTTCACCTCGTGGCCTAATTATTTATATACTAAAAGCAGAAATACTATATATAAATAGGTAAAGTGTATTTATTATATACCTACATGATACGTATATGTATAAATATATACTCTTTCTACTGTCTCTTTATTTATTATTCGCGCCTTTTCTATCTTAGTACTATTTCCTACACCTTATGGTTGCCTGGAAGAAATCGCTCTTTTCGCGATGAGGCCGTCTCTTGTACCTTGTTCTATATTTTGTATATTTTCTTTTCTGTTTTTGTTTTTGGGTGTACAATAAAGAGTTATTCGTTCATTCATTCATTCATTCATTCATTCAAAGACAAAACAGTTCAGTACCTTTTTCTTCCTTTATTTGTCGACAGATTTTCTTTTTTTTTTGTTCAGTAGTTAATTTATATATTAGCTTTAATGTTATAACTAAATTTAGGAAATTTAGTAAATTCTGTTGGTACATGTTTTGCTCTTTTCGATAATGACTTTTGTCGAGTTTCGGTCACTAGGCGAACACTAATTAAACCAAATAGCATTATGCAACAAATAGCAAGCTTCGAACCAGCTGCATGATAATACTCATCAAAACGAGTCAAATCAGTCAACATTCGAAAATTTTATCAGCATCCATTGAAGAGATCCACTGTCGACCTCTTAAATCCTTTATCAGATCTGCTCAATCATATTCATATCCGTCCATAAAATTCAATTAAGATTATGAAATTGTACTAAATTGTAGGATTAGGCAAATACAAAAAACTTTGTATAATCTAAAAGTAAACAACAAACCTATATGAAATATATGACTATATTTTTCAGAAACAGTATCCATATTGGAACAGGTATAGAGTTTACAAGATAAGCTTAGATCTCTACTTTCTTAAATTTTTGCATTTGCTTTATATTGACGATTATTCTTCATAGAAGAGGTTTTATCGAAGGATAGCTTTAATTATTTATTTGCATTGCATTAAAATCTGGCACCAAATAAAAGGTTTTTTTGTATAAGCAAACTTTTTTATGGATGAAAGTTTCAATTTATTTGAATTATTTAACTTAAATGAGTTTACAATAACCAAAAATTACACAACACTTTTATAAAATAAATATATAGTAATTATAATTATCTTACATTATATTCCTCTTCATTTACAAATAAATTAAGGTACATACCTAATTCTAAGACCAGTTAAAAATATAAGGTGATTTGTTGATAATTTGGTGTCAGTGTGCTGAGATCAGTCAATGGTCTTAACCTTAAGGGTTTATATATATATATATATATAGCGTGGGGCAAATGGGACATGGAAGAAAAGTTTCTTAAATATTAAAGCTATCAAGTTTTACCCTGACATTCTTTTATTTTTTTAAATAAAAATAACTACATTTATTTTTCAAAAAAAAAGTAAAAAAAACCTAAAAGTCAAAAAATACGACGTCATTATTTACATAATCGAACTAATCGGTAGAATCTAGGATGAGCATAAAATCTCCCGAAGACGCATATCTTCTTGAAAATCATGAATTCTTACAATTAATACATATCGACTTTAATTAACATCGTGAAACAAACACACGGGGCAGGGAAGAAAAGTATAAGTAATGTTTTTATTTTCATTTTATAGTCGGTCCAAATTTAAAAAAAAATCCTTCTTTTGAGCCATTTTTTTCTGTAATCCATATAATTCTTTTGTGGCATTTTACATGCAATACTTCCAATTTCAATGTGCTGCTTTGTTCGTAGTATCTTTATATAAATTAAATCAACATTTCTTATCTATAGATACATATAATAAAATTCTAGCTGACTCGAATCTGTACATTAAATATTTTTTGGAAAATCTTATTGTAATAGACATTATTATTGATACAGAGGCTGAATGTATAGTTTTTAGAATTTTTGTCTGTCTGTCTGTCTGTTACTGCATCACAGAAAAACCACTGGAGGGATTTTGATGACATTTGGTATGGTGATAGCTGGTTATCCGAGTTAACATGTAGGATACTTTTTACCGCAGGAAAATGTCTCATTTCTGAGAAAAAATACAAAAATTGAAATGTAAGAGTGTACTAATATGTAAAACCTAATAATTTGGTTTTTGGTCATCTGAACGCGGGCGGATCCAGGGGCTATGCTAGTGTACTTATATAATTAAATATGTACTAAATATGATATCTATCATAATCGAGTTTTAATAATAATAATACAAATATATTTTAATTAATTTGAAGTATGAAATCTGCTCAGCTATTCAGAGATTCAATCATATTCTTTCAAATTAATACTACACTAACTCTAGATTAATCTATACAGATTAATAAAATTAAAGTGTCTGTTTGTAATGTCCAAATAACAGCTTTTTACTAAATGCATATAAAAGTATATACGGTACTTATAACAAAAACACTTTTTTATTTTTGTGTGTCTGTTTGTTAGCCGAAACAAACAGACAGACAGACGAAAATTCTTAAAAATCTCCGAAACGGCTTGACTGATTTTGACGGGACTTTCACTGGCAGATACCTGATGTTATTAGGCTACTTTTATTTTAGAAAAAGAATTAGGGTTCCGCTTTAAAAAATTAAAACGGACCTAAGGACGCACCCAAGCGAAGCGACGGTAAGTCGCTAGTCTAAACGTAAAAATAGACAATGCAAGGAAAATTCAAAAGTAACAATAAAAAATCTGTTTACACTCTCCACATATTTTCCTTTCAATTAATCCTAGAAATCTAATGAATTATTTACAGTGAGATTTATTTTATCTGCATGAAAAAATACTCTTTAGCAACAAGTTATAGAAATCAAAATAAGAAAATGAATCACATATTGCAATAGATTTTTAAATCGCGTTGAATTTTATGTTATGAAACTATTTAAAAGAGCTTCGGCAGTGGTAGCCCAGTGGTAACGCGCTCTCTTAAGAAACCAAGTAACGCAGGTTCAAATCCCGGGTCACACATCTCTGATATTTTCATGTGCGAATCATTTCCAACATGATTATCACTTGTCTTACGATGAAGGAAAACATCGCGAAGAAACCTACATATCTAAGAGAACTTAGCAAGGTTTTGAAAGACGTGTGAAGTCCACGAACCAGCACTGGGCCCCTCCCATTGAAGGAAGACCCATGCCCAACAGTGGAAAGTAAAAGCGGGCTGAATACTAAACGATTAAAAAGGAGCGTACTATATATATATATATATATATATATATATATATATATATATAATATATATATATATACTCTTAACTATGCGAGTGTAGCTGCGGGCAAAAGTAATGGTTTATAAACGTGTTTCTTCTATATCGACTGCTATTGAGGGATACGCTAAGTCGAGGTAGTGCAATCTGGTGCAGAGAAAATTTTCAGCTTGGACTTCCATTTTAGCGTCAAAATGCGTCCGCCAACCGCCTGCTTCACCTGTTAATAAAAATGTAAAATTATTTGAATATGGAAGGTGCATAAAATACTAATTACCTAAAAATTATAGAAATATAAATAAACATACTTTGTAGTACACACATAATATATGTAATATTATCAATAATCTATACATCTATAGGAATAAATAAAATTGAAGTGTCTGTTTGTAATATCAAAATAACGCATTTTACTAAATGCATATGAGAGTGTATACAGTACTTATTAAAAAAAATTATAACTTTTGTTTGTCTGTCAGTTTGTTCAGGCTCAACTCCGAAACGGCTAGACTGATTTTGACGGGACTTTCACTGGCAGATAGCTGATGTTATAAGGAGTAACTTAGGTTACTTTTATTTTAGAAAAAGAGTTAGTATTCCGCGCAGATAAACCCCGTAAAATTGTAAACAAAATCCGCGTACCAAGACTCACCCGAGCGAAGCGAGAGTAAGTCGCTAGTATATAACAACTATATTTATACACGCTTGCTTATAATAAAAAACATTCGTCCACATTTTCACCCCCTTAAAGGATGATTTCCAGGATAAAAAGTATCCTTTATCCTTGCCAGGGTCTAAAACTATCTTCTTACCAAATTTCATCTAGATCGGTTCAGTAGGTCCAGAGATTACCCCCTACAACGTCACCAACTCACAAACTTTACGTTTTTATTATATTAGTATAGACGTACATAAATACATATATTACATAATTTATATACAGAGAAATGTGTTATATAAATATTTGTTTCTTACGGATATCACCGCCTCATAAAAGAACAATTAATGAGCCATTGGTGTTGAGCGGATTCCTTACAATCTACTCGCAGAACTTATTTCGGCTAATAAAGTTTGTAACATACGGTAAAGTGATTAGAACTTTTACTGTTAATTGAACATAACTTTATCTGCCATGTTGGTCTAATGGCTAGCATATGTAGCAGTCGAAAGGAAGAACCTGGGTTCGAATCCCGAGTCAGGTCCAGAAGTTTTTAATAATAGCCCAGAGTTGGAAATCTGTCAGCCCTGCGAGTGTGAAAGGAATACACTTATGTTTGAATGCATACTTCACATAATTGTGCAATCTTTTGAACAGATGGGCCAAATAATCTCAATGAGATTTTCCAATTTAAATTAATAATATAATTATCACGCTGTATTTACCTATAATTAAAAGTGCAATTAATTAAGTGTAGTGCCTAGATTATACGAGTATGGGTTAATCATTGTAACTTTTGTTGGTAATTCAATAAATAAATAAATCTTTTAGGAGTATATTATATTTATTAATATATAACAACTATCCTTAATCCCGATTTAGGAAAAACTAACATAAAAATCATCAAATAACTATAAAAGAAGCTCTGTATCAATTAGGCGAATAGAGAGAATTGTACTTTTGTCTTTCAAAGAAAATAAATAAATGTACCTTTTCGTATGAATTGTATTTCATTGTTTTCGGTAGTAGTGTTATTTACAGCCTTGTTTTTTCGAAGGTTATGGAAACTGAGATGGCTGGCGAGAAAACGGACTTGGTCTTCCGAGTAATCTCTGTTTAGAAAGTTGCAAACTCCTCGAATCGTTTTTGGTAAATCCTGTCAACAGAATAATTTCTACATTTAATTTGTTGTCATGTAAATACAATAACGCTATAAATTTAAAAAAAATCTAGATCTTTCTTTGCTTTACTGAAGTGTATCTTTTTTCTTTTCTTTAGTGGCTTAGCGGCTCCGCTCGCGTTCAGATGACCAAAAACCAAATTCTTAGGTTTTACATATTAGTATACTCTTACATTGCGGTTTTTGTATTTTTCTCAGAAATTAGATATTTCCCGCGGTAAAAAGTATCCTATAATTATGTTGACCCGGATAACCAGCTATCACCGTACCAAGTTTCATCAAAATCCCTCCAGTGGTTTTTCTGTGATGCGGTAACAGACAGACAGACAAAAATTCTAAAAATCTCTGTATCGATAATAATGTTTATTTCAATAAGATTTTCCAGAAAATATTTAATGTACAGATTCGGCTTGGTTACAATTTTATTATATGTATAGATAAGTATATAAATAATTACTAATAATATCTCAATTTTTTTTACATATTTTAGAATTGATATGGGAATTTTATTATACAAAAACAATTTTAGATTTTTTTATTTCCGTAAAAAAATCAGGGAGACCTTCGGTTAAGTATAAAATTTGGTATGAAAAATGCAGGCAAATCTATCTAAATAATATGATATATTTTTCAATTTATTATTACTGTAAGTGTATACTAATATTTACGAAAATACTATTATTCATTCACCTTTATCATATCCTCATAAAAAAGAAAATGGAGATTCTCATTGTGCCGCAACTTCCACGCTTCATTTGTATGCTCAATAATGGGGGTCCAGGGTACTGGAAATAGCTTATATTTAATTGAACATTTTACTTTACATAATAAATGTCTTACAATAACAAAACAAAATCAGATAGTATTAATATCAAATATTTAAGTTTATTTAAAATCATATATTAGACGTTTGAAGCAGGTACAACTATTCTTTTTGGATTTTGAGTCAAAAATTTCGAAAAAAATAAATAAAAATATTAGCATTCTGCACTTCTTCTCTATATAAACAAGCGTAGGAAATTTCATACTCCTCTGTCAGCGCATATTTCTAAAAAGGGGTACAAAGTTTTTGCTTCACGTATTAATATATAGATCGTCCGATAGTAAGCGTGTAACATCGAAACACAAATTGAAGAAATTACGTAATTTGTGTTCACCTAAAGATAACAAACAGATGTAACCGATAAGCACATTTTTGTTGCCAATATCAATATTTTCCTAATCTTATAAACAAACGCGCTGATTTTATATAACATTTTTTAACTTACACAAATCTTTTCTGAAAGCATCCCAGAAATGATTGAATGTCGCACGCATGAGAGTCTTTATTACCATTTTGTGCAGATAATAGTACGATACAGCCACATCTCTTGGGTCTCTCGCCACATAAATAACTTTGGCTGTGCTTAACAAGTTTGGAGGAAGAAGTGAAAGAGGTAGATGTGTCTTTATGAAGCGTGGGGAAGGCGCGTCTTCTATGGTCTTCCAACTTGGCACTCTCGCTGCCTGGTTCAAGCCTTGGAAATAGGCGAGGTTCATAAAATTGATCCTAATTAAATCAAATGCCAGTTCTGGTATTAATGCTGTTATTCTGTAATCAGTAAAATGGATATATTTAAACTAAATATTATGTGATCGAGTAATTTAAAATTTTGGTGATATAGGGCTTATTGAACATTAATAGATCTTCGTGTTTTTGGAAATCTAAAATTTATATCAAGATTTACTTCTTACATAAACTTTGCCTTTGTAATATATAACCTATTTAGTATATAAATAAATCATATATTTATACTAGCGACCCACCCTCACTCCGTTCGGGTTCGTTCCTAGTTACGTTTTAACGCTTAGTATAGATTTCTCAAAGATGAGATATTTTCCCGCAGTAAAAAGTATCTTATACGTTGACCCGAATAAAGTTTTCTAAAAAATACTTAATGTACAGATTCGACTCAGTTACAATTTTATTATATGTATAGATATGTAGTTGCATGCGTTCTAGGGTATACTCTTATTATCTTATTACAAATATTAAAAAACTGTTTTTGAATTGAGCTAGCACTTCAATCTAAGGTTTCATAGTCTACTGCCGTATAAGTCTTAACGTAGCCAGTAGACCATCGCGGCAATAATCAGTGGTACTCAATACACAACAATCTATACAAAAATTTCAACTTTTGACGACTCGCCTTAGTTTCGCTTGGATTCGTCCCTAGGTGCGTTTTAACGGTTAATATGGAATAAATAGACTATACATAGGTATGATGAGTTGTTGTGGTTTGCATTATAACGTGTTTTTCCGTGGGAATGAGATAAACTCCTGCAGTACAAAATCTATGTCGCCCTCCAGCCCTTCAACAATCTCCACACAAAAAATCACGCCAATCCGTTACTCTGTTTCAACGTGAAAGAAGGACAAACAAACAAACACACTTTCACATTTATAATATTAGTATGGACTACTTACTCTAACATAGGAAATCGTTCGAAAAGAGACCTTTCCTTAGCACCTTTATAATCTAATTCATTTTCAATTAACCACACCATCTCCTGAGTCCATGTTGTTCCTAAAATCAGATATTTTTCAATATAAATATTTTTCAAAGTTATTCTGCCGTCATAAAAATAAAAATGAATGCCACAACTTCGTCAAAGTTGATTTCGAGATATTTGAAGTAGTAGTTTTGACGTAGTCACGATGAAAATGGTTATGGTATCTCCGGATTCATAAGACTTAGAGCTTTGTAAGTAGGACTATCAAGTAGCATTTTTTTTGCTGATTCCGAATCTGCATTTAAGTCATTTTTGTCCAAATTGTTAATTGGGGCCTTCTTTATTATAACGGCAGTATTATTTTTGTCAAATTACTTGTAGTTAATTTTTCCAGTGTTTCGAACCAAAAAATTCCATGGTCGATGCGTAATGATAACGTTTTTGATATAACTTTGTCTTATCAGATAGCTCTAGACACTTGACCATACGTTTTACCAAATAAAATGATACGTACTGTGTACATAAAACACTATGATAGTGAATATTTTGTATGTTTTTGTTATAATAAAGGTGTAAACTACAAACTAACAACAAAAATTGCAAACATCTCGTATTCTATACTAATATTATAAAGAGGCAGTTTTTTTGTTTGTGTGTTTGTTTGTTTGAACGCGCTAAACTCAGTAACTACTAATTCGATTAGATTTTTTTGCATTAGATAGTCCGTTTATTGATAAAGGCTATATATCATCATGCTACTAGTGAGATGCTTGAATTCAAAGTTTGAATTAATTTTGAATTTGCCATACAAATATTTTTCCGGATTTTGATAGTGTTTTTTTGGTTTGTAGAATCTGATTTGCTTTCTTTAAGGTTAGATATCGTTTATTAATAGATGTATGTTTAGCTAACCTGATCTAGGGAACGTGATAACCCATATGTCATCTGGCCGCACCTGCATGTTGTATATCGCCTCTGCGTGCTTTCTGAATGCACCGGGCATCACGTACTGTTTCTCGCCACATTTCACAAAGGGTTTGGTGTAGCCTGTAAATCATCTATACATATATATAAAAATGAATCACCGAAATGTATATACGCGTATAACTTCGGATCGACTGCACTAAATTGAATAATTCTTTTTTTTTTGTGTTTGTTATTGTCAGAAAGTTTTGTATTGAAGAAAATTAAAAGAAAAAAAAAGTAAAATAAGTTTTTTTTTAAAACTTATGATACAAAAAGTTAGTGAGTTTATCCCGGAAATCATCCCTTAAGGGAATGAGAATGGGGATGAAAGTTTCTATGGGGAAGCAAGCTAGGGACGAACCCGAGCGAAACGGCGGTGTATGTATAAATAACTAGCGGCTTACTCTCGCTTCAGTCGGGTGCGTATAGGTGGATTTTGTATTTATAATATAATACACAGGTAGCGCCATCTTTAAGCAAAATTTATAACTAACAGCCTATATATTATACAAAGTCTATCTGTTTCAAATTTCATTCAAGTTTCAGCGTTAAAGAGTGACAAACATACACGCTCACACACACTTTTATTAGTAGTCTGATTTCTTTTAACTTTGACTTCATTATTTTATGATTTTATCATTTTACGCTTGACATTTTACTCATTTAATCTCATTTCGTAACAGCTATTTCATATTGAATATCTAAAAATAGTTCATTATAATTAAAATCGTATGTAGATTCGTTATTCATATAATGAACTACACGTTATTATCATTTGTAAGTTAAAATTAAAATTACATGGATGCTATTAATGTAATAATTATTCGCTTTATGCGAAGTTATTATAATATAAATGAAGCAAGCTTTCCTCGAAACACTTCATTTGAAACCTGAAACCTGTTTCAAACGCATCACCAACCGCACGTCATTAAATTCCAATATTTTATCCAATATTAGCGACTTGTTTAGTTTGTTACTATTTTGTTATATGTTCCAATAATATCAAAAATGATATATAAAATATATACAAATAAATGTATTATTTTACTAGCATTGTTCGCGGCTCCGCCCGTGTTCAGATGACCAAAAACCAAATAAAATAACGCTATCGTTATTTTTTTTCAAGATAAGCTATTTTTAATAGTTTTTGCCTGATTTAGTAAGTTACCTCGCTAAAATATATAGTATCATCGTGGTTTTATTCTAACCAGTTCTTATATTTTTTTCTCAGAAATGAGATATTTTCCCGCGGTAAGAAGTATCCTATATGTTGACCCGGGTAACCAGCTATGACCATACTAAATTTCATCAAAATCCCTCCAGTAGTTTTTCTGTGATGCGGTAACAGACAGAAAGACAGACAGAGAGATAAAAATTCTAAAAACTATAGATTCGGCCTTTATATTGATAATAATGTCTATTTCAATAAGATTTTCCCAAAAAAATAGTTAATGTACAGATTAGACTAAGTTAGAATTTTATTATATGTATAGATTTCATCTTCAGCTGACATAATTAAAATATTTCTAATAGTCTAAGATCTGAATATAAATTGATCCTTACCTATCAGCTTACTTGTTCAAAATTTTATTATTTTATTTTAAATATAACGTATAAACAAATACCTATCTATATCGTACATATCGCTAATTTTTAAATTTCTAAGCTTTTCTCGCAAGCAACTTAAATTAAGCATGTTCCCCTACTTTATACTTTTACCAATATATACCCCATACTCTTTCAATTAATATATTAGGTACATTTATTTGATATGATGAAATATTAAAGAGAAAATGGGTGCTTGTAACCTTTACGCGCGGTTCAAGTAAAACCTCTTTGGCAAATATCGTAATTAAATTAAAACAAGTCAACAATTAAATAAGGCATAATAAGCATATTACAATCATACATTTATAGAACAGATTTATAGAATATAGAATATACGGAAAGAATATAATATTATATATTTGTCAAACAATAACAACGGTTACCATGGCAACATGGCAATGTACTCTATCTCATTCTCCCGCCGCGCCGGCTTAATCCTATATATTTATGTTTTTGTCTCTTTTTAGTGACGCATTTCCATTTTATCGAGTTTCAAATCACAACGATTTTAAAGAAGTTTTATTTCAAGAAGCACTTTTTCTAAATTTAGTGGCACAGCGACCAATAATGGGTAAGGACTTCGTACGACAAAGTCGACTTTACCTTCAGATCTCCTAATATAAGCGATATTTTTTTTAATCCAAAGATAAACTTATTATTACAGATATAAGTAATGCAATATTAAGTCTATTATTTATATTATAATATCTAATATTAAGTCTGTTTATAATCCACCTAATAAATAATTTAGTCTAGCAAATATAGTTAACACTTTAAATCTAACACAGAGCAGACCCAAGGACAATAACAAACATCATCGACAATTTTCTACCTTTTTTTCTATATAAATAACGGCCATCAGTCATTATTTTGACATTCTCATTTCCGTCGCTTCATTAATCTAGGCTTGACATACAACATTATCAACAAATGGTCTATATTTTACTGTAATAAAAACACAATTTTTCATTTGTATTACGAAACGAAAATATCTTATTTGGATTATTTTTTACTTAAATTTAATATTTTTATTTATAGACTTATTTTATTTTACCAAACCACAAAAACGGTAATCATCCTATAAGAAATAAAAATTATAATTTTAAGGAATTTAAAGAAGCATGAAACAAACTTTTCATATTGTGTTAGTAACCTTTTTGGTATTTGCCTGTAAATGTAAACGGAAACTAAAAATATTACCACTATGCCTAGCCAATATAGTATTCAACAAATAATTCATAAAAATGAATAAAATTTGAATTCTTTGAACGAAAACCTTGCAGTATGTTTGAATTTAGTCAAGCTTATGTTTATTATAATATTTTTTCTTACTATTATTTATAAATAAAACGTGAAAATTTTACAATTTAACAGATCAGGGATCAAACAAAACCAAAAAAAAACGAGAAGGGCAAAAGAGAAGAAACCCGAATTTAAGGTAAATGTTAAAGCAAGACAAAAGAAGAAAAAGGCTCAAAAAAGCTCATTATTCATATTCAAAATCTCAAAATACAAAAGAAAAATCACAAACACGTGTATTAACTACGCAAGCGAACCTCAATGTTCTATAATTATAAATTAGAATTAATTAAAATTCCGACAATATCTAATAATAAAAGCAAATATCTAATCATAATCAGGAAAACCCCATACAAAAACAAACATATAAAATGACATATTTATTTTATGATACAGATATGACACATTCGTATTAGCGCAAAAAGAAAACTACAAAATTATTTTTTATCTCTCAGAAGGAGCGTGCAAGTGCATTTACGTGAATGTTGAGTACTCTATCCTGTACTTGACCAGCGTGTTAGATTATAGTTTAATCCCTATCGTATTGAAAGTAGGTCAGTGTCCAGCAATGCAAAAGTTATTTAACCATTTGATCGTAGTTATTCTATTCATTTAAAATTGGGAAAAGAAACTAAGTATTTATATAATTTCCTACTAGAAACTGATCTTTACTTCGATCGAGTGTTTCCCGAGATACCACACCGAGGTAACATCCTCCAGGTACTATAGTCTATCTGTACATTTCACATTTCAATTTCATCCTAATCCGGTCAGCCATTTTAGCGGGAATGTAGAACACACATACAATCACACAAACATAAAAACTTTCATATTTATAATACTATGCCGATGTGTTATCATCGGTACCTAATTCTAGGAATCGATGACAACTAAAGTGATACAAAATATGGAAATCCATAGACGTAGAGAATGAACTTCTTCTTCTTCTTCTTCTCCCTGCCCATTTCCCAATCACTTGGGGTCGGCGCAGTACATCTTCTGTACTGCTGATAGGATTTGGTAAAAGTTTTACGACCGGCCGCCTCACGCCTGCCTGACATCAACCCTCCTTGGGAATGCTATTGTCTCTCTTTGTCTGAATGGTGTCGCGGAAGCCTTGTAATTATTATGCACTTTCGATTTTGTTGTCTTTTAAAACATTTTTTATACTATTACTTAAATTTTTAATGTTATTTTCGGATATATTTTAAAATAAATTTTGATTACACCATAAATTTCTAAAAAATTGACAACGTTTTTACTAAATGCTTATAAAGGCATAAAAAAAATGAACTGAACAATATTATATATGTATAAATAAATAAATAAAAATTCTCGTACACCTCTGATATTTCATGAGCGAATCATTTCCAACGTGATTACCACTTGTCTCACGGTGAAGGAAAACATCGTGAGGAGACGAGACATGTCTGAGAGACCGAGCTTAAAGCTTTTCTAACCTATACTAACAAACGAGGCATAGTAGACTATGGCCTCATACCACTCGTATTGACAGGCCCGTGCCCAGCAGTGGGACATTAAAAAGGGCTAAATACATTCTAAAATTATCATTTAATTAAAACTTGATAAACATTATTTTATTAATCAATATTTATATTATGTATGTATTTAAAGTTACATATGTGTGTAGTGTATCAACTATCTGGTCCCCCCCAACGTGCGTTCACCTTGTCGTGGTGGGGGGGCTCAGTAGTGCCCGGCAATCCAACCGGGCGCGAAGCTAAGAAACGCACAGGGATTGCCCACTTCGGTGGGCGGTGGGAGGTGGCCCTCTTCGGGGGGCGGTGTACCTTGCGGGTTGCTCCTGGTACTTCTCTGATAGCAGAGTGGACCTTGGAGCAACCCCATGGTTGTGGTGGTCTGCTTTGGCAGACCTGCCGTCGGGGCGTCGTAGTTGAATGCGTAAGCGATCCTGCGACGCCCCATTAAGACGGGGGAAGGTTTTGTTGGGTTTTAGTGGGTAGTACTGACTGTATTACGCCGGTGAGTCCCACACGTCGTGCGTAAATGCATTTCCCAACGATAAAAAAAAAAACTATCTGGTATCCATAACACAAGCCTCGTAGCTTACCATGGAACTAGAAGGCGCTGTGTGTTAATGTCCCAAAATATTATATTATTATATTTTTTTAATAAAGTGAAGCTCTTAATTTTAACCAATGTTTAATGATGGACATTCTAAAAAAAATCTGCAACTTAAGCCTAATTTATATACATATAATCGAAAATTATTATCTAAAAAGCACGTACGTCGCGTACACTCGCACTTATAATCTTCTGACAATATCTATGATAACATAATATAGTACACGTAGAAACAAGTATTTTTTATTTGTTTATACTTCGATGACCGAGATCGTACAATCGTTGGTTCAAAATCAACCTGACAACAATCGAATCGCACTTTAATTATACCTTTATCCATACTAATACAATTAATGTGACAGTAACTCGGTCCGTCTGTCTGTTACCTTTTAACACGTAATCCGCTGAACCGATGTTGGTGAAATTAGGTTGGTATGAAGATAGTTTGAGATCCTGGGAAGAACATAGGATACTTTTTATACCGGAAATCAATACTTAAGGGGGTGAAAATAACAGTTGAAATATTTATCGGAAATCAATCGTTCTTCTCTTCAAGTAAGGGGTATTTAAATTTTTTAAAGTACTTATCTACTTTTATATACCTATAATATATAGATAGTCTATCTATTCCATACTAACCATCAAAGTAGTAGTCGCTAGTAATGTCAAAAAATAAAGTGTATCACTGTACGCAATACTACGATAGTGTATGTTTCCTACTATAAGATCGCAGCACCTTTAATTTTGTGTTTCGTAATTATAAAAACTTCTTTTTAGACACTGTTCCTGAAGGGTCAGTTCCGCTCCATATTACTCTCCTTCGTCCTCTTAACCGATTCTGGTTACACTGCTCAATTTCATTGAGATTAACCACTCGAGTGGAACTTATTAATTATTGTATTATAAGTGTGCGCGCAGATACAAGTGCACCTTTACTTCTTTTAACCCTCATTCTTATAGTGAAACGACAATGCTAACCACACAGCCTTCATAACACTAGCCTGTCGTGCGTCCGTCCGTGCTAATTTTTATTTATTTATTTAATCCTTTATTACACCAAAAAACAAGTACAATTTTAAAACAATACAGCCCTTTACAATATATGTATATATATATATATTTCTAACTTAGACTAATTTCATTGTAGAAAAATAATTATGAATCCGCGCAAAAAAAATTACCCATAAAATTGTGAACAAAATCTGCGTACCTACGAACGGGACGCACACGAGCGAAGCGAGGGTAAGAAGCGAGTTTATTAAGAATGGATACAATTTAAGAGTATCTTCAGACAGTTTAATTTTTCAAAGCACAAATAAAATAAATAATATATGATTACTTTATTTCCAATATAAAAATATGTTATATTCCAGTCTTATATCATTTTATTCTCAAACTGTAAGTATTTATTTTATATTACAAATATAATTTTCAGGTTATTCAGTACATAAACCTATTACATGTCACCATTGTAATTATTTCATACAGTTATTGCACAGCGGTAGGCGTAAAAAAAGCAGTCATGAAGACTGCCGACAGAAGGGAAAAATTAAAACTATAAACAAACAGTTGTTATTTTTGGATATTCAAATTAATCGTTTGATCTTAAATTAAATTTTATATATAAAAACTGTGTACATTTATCTAGTTTTGACATCTATCGGCACTCTGAGTGTTAGCGTTAACACGTCACGTCTATGACACGTAACCATGTCGATGACGACTTCCATGAATTTACCTACTCCCCATCCAAACCTGCCTATAGAAGTTTTCACTTCAAAAAAAATTCTAGGCATTTCTTCACTAATTTTTATAAAACTTATTATGACACGCATAAATCAGGCATAATTTTATTTCAGTTTTGCGCTTACATCTATACATATAATAAAATTGTAACAAAGCCGAATCTGTACATTAAATATTTTTTGGAAAACCTTATTGAAATAAACATTATTATCGATACAGAGGCCGGATCTATAGTTTTTAGAATTTTTGTCTGTCTGTTACCGCATCACAGGAAAACTACTGGAGGGGTTTTTATGAAATTTGGTATGGTGATAGCTGATTATCCGAGTCAACATATAGGATACTTTTTACCGTGGGAAAATATCTCATTTCAGAGAAAAAATACAAAAACTCCAATGTAAGAGTATACTACATAATATGTAAAACCTAAGAATTTGGTTTTTGGTCATCTGAACGCGGGCGGAGCCGCGGGCAATGCTAGTATTATATAAATTTAATCAAATTAGTCCAAGGCTGTAAAGAGATCAAAAATATCTATGATATCTTTACAGCTAGAATTATATATTTATTGTTTTCATTTGCTAAGATAATTTCTCTATATCTACTTTAAACGATTATAATCCTTATGAAATTATAATAACGTTTATGAAAATATTTAGATAGCGGCTTTCATGACGAAAACATATAAAGTAATTCTGCGTTACATCACAACGTTATGAGAGTTATCTGCACTTGTGATAATACTCGTAGTTTATTTTAAATTTTGGTTCCCTACGTTTCGATTGTGAAAAAATATTATTATTTATTCAGTACAAAAAATTCAAATATGCGAATGCGAAAAATAGTTATATTTAGTACAAAAGTTTCAAATATTAATCATATACGAATAATTGAAACCGGAAAGCAAAGCAGCCAAGCGTGGTCTATGGTACCGCGGTAAACGTGCTTAGGTTTCCTATTGACAACCTGGTCACAGCCTAGATGAAAGTAGTTCAAGAACGGTTAGTATGAAAATGTTCAATTCAATTCTTTGTTATTTGGCTTTTAGGCGTGCCAGTTGGACACTATGAAAATGTTTGGGGTAGGCCTACAGTGAACGTCTTTCGGCTGAGACGACTATATTACAAAGGGGTAACGGTTGCGAGTATGAATAAGGGTGGTATACGTCGGAATAGCAGTTTCGACTCTGATATATCCTAGTAATATTATAAATATGAATGTTTGTGAGGATGGATGGATGTTTGTTAATCACGCCAGAACGGCTGAACGGATCTGGATGAAATTTGTTACAGAGATAGATTATAGTCTAGAATAGCACATAGGTTTGTATCCCGGAAAAATGTACGGTTCCCGTGGGTTAGATATTTTTTAGTGTAGAGACGAACCCGAAGCTAGTCTTATATAATAAGCTCTATTATCTCTGAGCAACACATTACACAGGCTACTTTACACGGATATATCAAGATATTCTTGTAGAATACAAAACAAAAATGCGTTTGTTGTTATAAGGGCATGACCTGAGTCAAGCAAAAAGGGCTCCCAAGTCAAATTTAAAGACAGAAAAGAACAATGGATACAAAGAATTGAACATCTAGTAAAAATATAGTTAAAAATCACAATTTTCGTCCAACCCCTAATAACTAAATTGATGGAATTTGTATATAAACAGATAACATATCACTAAACGCACCTATTAAGCATTTCTTGATAACTTTATCCTCCTCCGCAGTAACGTCTCGTATCTCATATGGAAGATCCAACCATGGAGCCATAGTCACAGCTAACACTGAACTGTGGTACAACGAAATAAACGTCCGATTTTCGATATCACTGTAATCATATCGATCTACTAGTTCGATAAAATCACTATGCGTTTGCATTATTACGTCGTTTACAAATTTTATAGATGTAACACTTGCCGCTAATTTTTACATGAAAGTTTTACGACTTAAATGACATTTTTAAGGTAGCCAAAGAAATTTTTATCCTTATTTCTTCGTATATTTGTTCGTATGTCAGAGCAATTTTGATAAATGCTTTATGAATATTATGAAAAAATGTGTGCACTCTTTAATTAATGTTTACAAATAATATCCTTAGATACATCTATACATATATATATATATATATATATATATATATATATATATATATATATACCTATATATATAATAAAATTGTAACTAAGCCGAATCTGTATATTAAATATTTTTTGAAAAACTTATTGAAATAAACATTATTATCGATACAAAGGCTAAATCTATCGTTTTTAGAATTTTTGTCTGTCTGTTACCGCAAAAGGCAGTGGTAGCCCAGTGGTGACGCGCTCGCATGGGTAACCGAGTGAAGCGGGTTCAAATCCCGGGTCTCGCACCTCTGATATTTTCATGTGCGAATCATTTTTAACATGATTGCCACTTGCCTTACGGTGAAGGAAAACATCGTGAGGAAACCTGCATGTCTGAGAGAACCTAGCAAGTTTTCTAAAGACATGTGAAGTCTGCCAACCCGCACTTGGCCAGCGTGGTGGACTATGGCCTGATCCCCTTCATATTGAAGGGAGGCCCGTGCTCAGCAGTGGGACGTTAAGAAGGGCTGAATACATACAATACATACATACTGTTACCGCATCACAGAAAAACCACTGGAGGGTTTTTGATGAATTTTGGTATGGTGATAGCTGATTATCCGGGTCAACATAGGTATAGGATATTTTTTACCGCGAGAAAATGTCTCATTTCTGAGAAAAAATACAAAAACTGCAATGTAAGAGTATAATAATATGTAAAACCTAAGAATTTGGTTTTTGGACATGTGTACGCGGGCGGAGCCGCGGGAAATGCTAGTGATATATATATATATATATATATATATATATATATATATATATATAACAAAGTCGTGTTAAGCATGAAATATAGGAAAAATTAAGAAAATAAATTTATATGGCTAGCGCTGGCTAATAACCATTTATATCTATTTAAAACGTACCTAGCGAAGAACCCGAGTGAAGCGAGGGTGAGCCGCTAGTATGGAATAAAACCACTTTTTTAGATATAAATAATTTAATGCGTCAATATTAAATATTAAACAAGATTGATATCAAATTAGGTATTATTAATTTTGATTGATAAACAGTAATCAATCATATATAAATAAAAAAAAATCTTATGAGTAAAGTTGTAGCCAATTTTGCAAGCTATATATAAGTTTTTCTAAATTAAAGTGAAAATACTGTGTAGAATAGATATATTACACGAACTTCCTAAAAAAATGACACCTCACTACTATACTTAAAAAAATATGTAAAAAAAAATATGTAAAACAGAAAGAAGGCTTAAAAATAACTACCAAAATAAACATTTTATAAAACTTTTATTGCTGTATCTCCTCGATCTATACAGATAATAAAATTCCAACTAATTGTAAGTCGAACCAGTACATTAAATATTTTTTGGAAAATCTTGTTGAAATAATCATTATTATCGATAGAGAATCTATAGCTTCTAAATTTTTTTGTTAGTCTGTCCGTCTTCTAGGAACGCATACGAGAAAACCACTGGACAGATTTTGATGATATTTGGTATGATGATAGCTGGTTATTTGGGTCAACATATAGAATACTTTTTACTGCGGGAAAATATCTCATCTCTGAGAAACCTATACTAACCCTTAAATCGTATCTAGCGACGAACCCGAGTGGAGCGAGGGTGAATCGCTAGTATTTAAATAATTTTAAAATACAGCCGAAAGAAAATTTAATAATTATTATTTCTGTGAAATCGGCTTTTTATTCTACTTTGATAAATTTAAAATAATACTTTTTGTAAACTTCTTTGATTATTATACTTCAGTAATACGTAAAATTAAAAATTCTTGAACAATGTTAAAACAACTTTAAAGTTTTACTTTTTCATGCAATTTATATGTAGGATATTTAAGGATTTATTCTATAAATACGCTTTAGAAACACGATTACTTGTAGTTTCCTCGATAGAAAAAAACCCAAAATGATCGCTAAAAAACAAAATAAACCCTTAGTGCGGTGTAAATAATTAAAGGAAGTTCATCAGTTTTTTAATAATAACAAAACTTAATGCAAAAAAAACTAATAAAAAAATACGTTTTCTATAACGTATATAACTTTACATTTTCAAAATGTGTATTTGTTTTAATAATACCAAGTCCATCCTAGCTCCTCCTCCCCCCCCTGCCCGCTGTCGCCCTACTAAAATAAAAAGCTCGGTGCCCTCTTAAAGACTAATTGATATTAAAAAGCTGCAGCTATAAGGCTTTTTTACTTTAAGCTTAGAAGCTTTACGAGTCTTTACGAGCAGACAGTATGAAAGTGAGTGATGTACCCCATTGCCCCGAGACACCGCGGTCAAGCTGCCCTCAATCATTTGTAAGACATCTCGACATCTGCTCAAGTGGATAAGTATGAATTTTTAAAAAGAAAAAACTCTAAAAGCTATGTCGGTGTTTGTTAGTGCCTAAATTAAATAAATATGTATTTTAATTAATTCATAATAATAAATAATAATACAATATTTGGGTGGTCGTTAAAAATTCAACTTTTTCCGACGCTCCAAAAAAAACTTCCTTTTGATGGAAAAATATGGGGGATTTTTTTAACAAAAATAACGAGTGCCTCAAGATGATCTTCATTTTTTAGTAAAATACAGATAACACTATAAATTAACCCTAGGTAACTTAAATAGATGTATTTTTTATGAAGGCCATTGAAAAACAGTTGGTGTTTACTGATGACGTAAACGGATTATTATCAATAATACCGAAAATATCTAGAATTTATTATAATATTACGATTTTTTTATATTCTAGAGTCATGTACTAACTTTAGTTAATTACTAACTGCCAATATCTCTTGTATTAAGACCAAAAATTCCTAAATAAAATTTGATTGTTAAATTGTATTTATTTGTATTGATTTAATGTATTTGTTTACTTTTACATAGTTTCATAGCAATTGGAGAAATCATAATATAAGAATACACAGTTTAATTTATACTAAAGCTAAAAATGAACCCATAAAAAGTTTTAAATAATAGTAGTTTCAATTTAATCAAAGAAGCTGACGTTCTTTAAATTAGGATTTACATAGATGGAATATTATACGTTGGGGTAGCGCTAAGTTAAAAAAAATTATATATTTTTTACTTAACCACGAAAAATTATAAAAATCAAAGATATAATATAAAAAAAAACAACATACGCCCAAATCGAGTATATCATCCACTTATGAAGTCGGTCAAAAACGAGTGTTTTTTTATTATTTTCGCTATTTTCTTTTATAGGAAGGAGAATATAGTGAGTTTTTTGCCAGTTCCTTTAATGATTAAGGCATTCTGGATTCAAAGGTATAATATTTAGCAATAATTAATTATTTTAATATTTAATTGCATATTTTTTGCTTTATTTGGCGGCATCTTCAAAGTACAAGCTTTGAATGGCGATAACTGAATTCTTATCGAAACCGAACTAGATATAACTAGTATAGTATTATATGATCTGTGATAGGTATAAGTGATATGTGTACATACAATACCTGTAGTCACGAACTGAAGTTTTAATAAAAAAGAATGAAGATTACATTTTATTTCATTTCTGTTATCATAATAATATACACACCTTGCTGTGAACCTTTACCTATACTTCTTAAAATCGTTTTTGATTCAATAATTTAATTAAATAAAACCATCTTTTGACTATTTAGACCATGATTGCTGTAAAGCATTCAAAACGTCGGGAACCAAAAATCAAAATAAGTCCGCGAAAAAATCTGAAAAGATAGTCACAATTTTGATCCCACAAGAAAAAAATGTTTTATAAGTACTAGCTACGAATCTTGCTACGTGTGTGTATGTCTCCGACTGCATAATAGTATGTTTCTTCATCAACTTGTACTCATATTTTTAATTCGCTTTTTACGCTTTCTTCTTATTTTTTATTTACAGCTTTTTAGTTCTGCCCAGTTAGACATTTGTAATTTTATTCAACAATTTTTTATCCTTAATCATTTTTAAACATATAATTTGCATATATTTTTATAATTGCCTCTTAAAAACCTGTATTTTGATTCGCCACTCGATTGATTCGGACGAAAATTTGTTTTTTTTCGCCATTTCAATTTTCAATGGTATCTATATATCCTACGACACTCGCGTTATCAAGACGAATCTAACGACGTATTAATCTTTAAAATCGGTTAAGCCGTTAAGTACATACATATATACATACATACAGATTACATAGGAATAATTATTATATACGGGTCAAACACATAACCCTCCTTTGGGCTTAGTCGCAGTCAGGTAATAAAGACAAAAATAATGATCATAGATATCATTAAGGACAAATCAAATTCTCCTCATTTAGACGGCGTGTAGACAGATTAATTAGCTATTAAACTTCTTAACAGTACCAAGAAAACCTACGCGGGTAGGATTCTTTATGAATTACAAACTTAAATATACACATTTTCTATAATAATTGAACCTTATTTCTATATTATTAAGACTTACTTTAAGTTAAAGGAGGCGATTCAATAATATTGCTGTAAACTTTAAGTTGTGAGTGGTCTCAGTTCTGAAATCGGATGAGTTCAGGCGATATCAGATAATTAGTTGAAAGTCGTGACGATTGGTTTCATAAAATTTACTCGCAAACTAGCGAATCAACCTCGCTTCGCTCACGTTCATCCCTAGGTACGTTTTAACGATTAGTATGGAATATATAGATTATATTATACGTATACATTTATTAAATTTTATATATTAAATTATAATTATTACTGTTAAACATGCTCTGTAATATTATTGGCCACCAATTATGATTAAAGATGGAAGAGGTTTGGGAT